ACTTTTGCGTTGCATTTAACAATTGTAGAAATATTGCTTTTGTACATTTTCTTAATTTTTTTCATTTAATAATTTATTATTGTTATTATTATTATTATTATTATTATTATTATTATTATTTCTTTGCTGGTGCAAATTTGTCTATTTCTTCATTTGCTTGAAAACTCTAATACTGAAAGAGATGATGTAACAAGGGAATGCTAGGTTGGTGTTTTTTTAATAGTCCATTTTTCAGTTTGAGATGTAGCTCTAGGAATTATATATCTCTTGCAGTTTTTAGAGCTATCGAGGCATTTGAATTAAATTATTTTGTAATTAGTTCTTTTGTTTTTATTTTTTAATTCGTTTTGAGAGACGTCTGTAGGAGGCACAGGCGATCATGACACTGCATGATGCAACATTCCCCCTTGTCATTTAATGAGGTGTTTTAATAGGAACGGCTGACCACAGGAGTAAGAAAGTAGGACTCCCATTCAGAAGAGCTGGGTTCGAACAGGGTTGCCAAAATGTGTGTGTGAATAGTAATATTTGCTATATTTAAAGGTACCAAAACACACACACAGTGGTATCATATTTTAATTTAAAAACCGTCAAAAACTGTTAAAACACCATTTAAAAGCAGACACACACAAACTGCGATATATATATATATATATATATATATATATATATATATATATATATATATATAATAAACACTTACTGGTGAGTACCATCACCTTCTTTCCTAGAAATGCAAGCTCTGTTACCGGGAAATGTCATTGAAAATAAAAGCGGTAGATGATTGGACTTCTTCTTCTTTCTTTTGTCAAAATCTGCTTGTGCCGCTAGGCGTCGAAGTCTATCAGATGATCGGCAACCGAGCCAGGGCGCGCTTAGTCGCTTCATATGATGTGATGTTATGAAGTCTCAAGTTGTCCGTGACTCCTTCAATCCATCTTCTTCTTGGTCTTCCCCTTCCTGATTGGACACTTCACTGATTTTCAGTGAGCTTTTTTTTCGCGTTCAGATCGATTTCTTCATACAGGGCAGTTGCCAATTTTAGGAGTACAAATCCCAAACTGTAACTCGACCAAAGACTGCCATGGGAATACCGCTTTTTGCAGATATTGGGCATATAGGGCTATATTTTATAGACCGATCGGTACTTAATAGGTGACGTGGTCAATATCGCGTCGGGTACCTTTACATCCCAGAACCGTACCTGGTACCCATTCAAGGCTGGGTTGACCTGGGAGCCAAAGTCATTTATGAAAAAATAAATCTGCGTCTCATTCAGGATCCGAACCCACGACCCTTTCAATCGTCAGGCGAGCGTTTAGCTGCTATACCGCGGCAGCTGCCGTTCTACTTTCAGGACAATAAAGGTTAGTTGCGTATCCTTTACATGACGTTGCAGAATCAACCCTATCAGCCCCTGGCTGTTGTGTGGTTTCATTAGGCAAATTTACGTCCAGTAGTTTGCCATTGCTTACTGGACGATCGGCTCCCCGATACCACTGTCGAAACCAACGCAAGGCGTATGGCCCGCAGCTGGGACCGAACCCGGTGCCCCGGCATTACGAAGAGTTCGCATCGACTTAGCCACAGAGCCGACTACTTTCAGAAGGTGAAAGTAAATACAACTTGTCGCTATCGTCGTTATTTCGAACGTTACGAAAGAATGCGTGGTTTGGCATCTATCAAAACTTGGCTTCAACACATTTTCTACGTATTTGTTCTTTCAACACTTTAAGGCTTAACATGTCCTTCGGGAATTTGCTTTATCTCTTAGTTAATCACAAATCTCTTGAAGTGGTGATGGATTTTATGTCAGAAGGCTTTAGATTTTACATTAGTTCTAGTTGTCTAGTATTACCTCTGATGTCTGTTTCTTTCACTGTACAGTTATGTTTCTTGAGTTTGAGTTTTTCTGCTGTCTCCTGTACAGGTTATACTACCAAAACCAACCACCACCACCACTACTACTACTACTACTACTACTACTACTACTACTACTACTACTACTACTACTACTACTACTACTACTACTACTACTACTACTACTACTACTACTACTACTACTACTACTACTACTACTACTACTACTACTACTACTACTACTACTACTACTACTACTACTACTACTACTACTACTACTACTACTACTACTACTACTACTACTACTGCTACTGCTACTACTACTACTATTGCTACCATCACCACCTACTACTACTACTACTACTACTACTACTACTACTACTACTACTACTACTACTACTACTACTACTACTACTACTACTACCACCACCACCACCACCACCACCACCTCTCTTGTTGTTACTTTTGCTGCTGCTACTGCTGCTGCTCCTATTACAACCACGCCTGCTAATGCTATTACAACAACTACTACTACCTTCACCACCACTTCTACTAATATTACTACTAGTAATGGTAGTAGTGTCGGCTCAGTGGCTAAGTCGATTGCGAACGCTTCGTAAAGCCGGGACGCCGGGTTCGATCCCAGCTGCGGGCCATGCGCCATGCGTTGGTTTCGCCCAGAAAGCAATGGCAAACTACTGGTCGTAAATTTGCCTAGAAAACCACACAACAGCCAGGGGATGTTGGATTTGGTTCTGCAACGTCCTGTAAAGGATACGCAACTAACCAATGGTGGTAATAGTACATATTATTATTAGTAGTAGTAGTAGTAGTAGTAGTAGTAGTATTGTCTGCTGCTGCTACTAATGCTACTGTTATTACTCCTGCTGCTGCTACGACAACTATTAGTACTAATATTACTACTACTACTACTAATACTACTACTACTACTACTACTACTACTACTACTACTACTACTATTACTACTACTACTAATACTACTACTACTACTACAACTACTCCTTCTTCTTCTTCTTCTTCTTTTTCTTCTTCTTCTTCTTCTTCTTCTTCTTCTTCTTCTTCTTCTTCTTCTTCTTCTTCTTCTTCTTCTTCTTCTTCTTCTTCTTCTTCTTCTTCTTCTTCTTCTTCTTCTTCTTCTTCTTCTTCTTCTCATCCTTCTCCTTTATCTCCTTCTTCTTCTTTTCTTCATTAGCTTTCTCTGTTTTATTATGAACTTAAACTGCGATTTCTTTTTGAACCGCCCTTCTATTCTCATGTGAGTTGCTACTTCTTGTGGGGTGGGGTGGGGTAGGGTGGGGGATGTATATGGTGGTGTAGTTTCAGGCTAACGAAGCCGAGGTCGTTTTCCCCATAGGTGAATGTAAGACGTTGATGATGCATTTGCTATGAAAGCACATAGAGCTGGAAAATTGGCTAGAGGAAGAGAGATTTTCAAGCATGCCGTGAAGAGAGTGACATTCTGTGGGAGCAGTGGCGTATAAAGAAGGGTCCGAGGGGTGGGGACCGCCCCGGCTGACATCACTGATGGAGTGACAAAATGGCAAAAATCTGTATACACACACACACATACACACAGGCACACACACACACACACACACACACACACAACAGAGCTAGATTTAGGCATACGCTAATTAAACTAATGGCCTCACAATCAGGTACGTAAAAATGCAGTTTTTTTTTTTGGTTATAATTTTCTTGTAATACATTTAAAAATTTACAAAACATTTATATTTGTGAGTTGAAAGATTTGAAGTGGGTACATTATTTCAGGTTTTTGTATATTCTAGCTTGCAACCTATTTGAACTGATAAAATACCCCAGCTTGGAGTGAGTCTAATTCCACCTGTAATTGATTTATATATTTCAAAGTTGCATGAGATCAATTGGTGTTATGTAAGACGATACTGGTATTGAGGCTATTTGTAGCTTTTGGGTCTAATCAAGTCTAAATCCAGCACACACACACTCACACACATACACACACACAAACAAACACACACACATACATACACACACACACATACACACACACACATACACACACACACATACACACACATATACAGACACACAAACATACACACACACTCACACACACACACACACATACACACACATACACACACATACACACACATATATACACACACACAAACATACACACACACACTCACACACACACTCTTACACACACTCACACACACACACACACACTCACACACACACAAACACACACACATATAAACACACACAAACATACACACTCACACACTCACACACACACACACACACACACACACACACACACACACTCAGAGTTGGGGGTTTGGTAGAGGAAAGGTGATAAAAAAGGATCTTTTTTTCCGCGCCTTCGGGCGTATTGGGGATATAGGGCTAGACCTATAATCTGTAACCCAATGGCACTTGTGAGTGATGTGGTCAGCATTGCGTCGGCTGCCTTTACTTCCTAGGACTGCACCTGGTACCCACTCAAGGCTGGGTAGACCTAAGAGCCAAACAGTTTGATAGTTATTTTTTTTAAACAAATTCTGGCTCCATCAGGGCCCGAACCCACGACGTTTTGATCCACGGGAGAGCGTCTAGCCTTCTAGACAAAGGCGACGGGAAGGGTGGTGACAAGATATATTTCGCACCGGTTGCCACTTAACCTTGCTACGCCCCTGTGTACCTCAGCCGCTGAAAGGTGATGAACGGCTACACACACTACTACACTAGCATGCCCTGATGGGTTCTATTCCAAAAATACCCCACCCCCCCCACCCCCCCCCCCCCCCCCCAACAGACAGTCGAATATTTTAGTTGGTGGTAGATAGGCTGCATGCAGTCGTGGGACCAAGCTGCATACTCTCGTGGGACGTAGGTGAGTTGGGGTTAGTACCCGTTCTTGATGTTTTTGGGGTAGTTTAAAAAACACCAGAAAGCCGGGAAACCCACTCTTACAACCCTCGAAAATTGTGGACTGTCCTGTGACGTTCTCCTGGGGGAGATATTGGGAAAGCACCCCCTGATGTCCAAAGCAGGGGCGGATATAAGTGCGGTTGTGGAACCTTACATTCTTGTTCGACAAATAAAAATCGCAACAATTTTCCTTTCAGGTTGTTTGGAGACGGTCGTCAGACCCTAATCCCCTTACCATAGGGGAAGACACATACGTCAATGACCGGAGGTTCAGAGTGGTACACACCAAACACTCCTTGGAGTGGAACCTGCACATACAGAACGCACATCCAGACGACAGTGGCATGTACGAGTGCCAAGTGTCCACCAAACGGCAGCAGATACGACAGAACATCTTCCTGACAGTGGAAGGTAAGGAAAGTCGTTTGTTCTACTGAAGTGTTTTTCTTACAATTACAGTGGAACTGTTATTTTTCGTCCACGCCAGTATTCGTGTCTTTTAAATTCGTCATATTCGCCCGAAAAATCATTTTTCGTCCAACTTCCAACGTGGCTGGCGATGCTGACATAGAACGGAATTCATAGTGATTAGTGATTAGAAAGGATTATTATCACAGCACTCTAGATAGATCCATAGGTGCTCCGATCTGTAAAACGACTGATGACGCCTCTTCTGTGTTGTTTAATGAAACATCTTGTCCGCTTAGTGAAATGTGTATTTCTTGCAGCTGTAGCCTGCAACCCCATGTCCATCAGTCTAGACAGGGATACGGAGTCATGTCCTTTGGTGTGCTCCTCGCTACGGTAAGTGCAGCGCACTTACATCACTTCTGTCCAGTACTGGGCCAGCCATAGCAACCGCAGTGTCAGAAATATAGTCTGCACGCTCGTTGTCTGTAACGCCTGCATTACCAGGCACAAAGATAAAGGTTAGGGAAGATATTCGTGAAGTGCTTAGTGTCGCAATCCATTTTTGCCTGAAAAATCCATCTTGGATTTTTTAAAGCATATTTATCAAGTATTCAGAGCACAGGGGCTACTCAAGCTCCGTAAAGCAAGGAAGCTGGATCACTGAGATAAATTTCATCAGACGAAGAAAGAGAAGACGATCGGCTGGTTTCAAGTACTGGAATTAAGGATTGGCTACCCACTACGGAAAAAGTGCAGATTTGTGTTTATGTTTATTGGACGGATCAACATCATGGCACACGGGTGTAACACATAAGTTCTGGGCAGCGCCGTCAGGCTACTCTTTTTGATTTCCAACCGCCATGGGATTGTTTACTTGCGCAAGTATACACACGGGCGTTCGATGTTACTACCCAGAGACCAGGGGAAATTACTAGAGGTCAACGTGAAAAAAAAAATTCCTAGCTTTCACTGGGGCTTGAACCGGGTACCTCCAGCACTCGAGACGGACACCAGCCCCCCTAAGTGCAGGTTTCATTGAGAAATGGCGCCCAAACATAGAAATAGTTAATCAGCGTATCAATTTATTTGATTACGATGTGTTTTGACACTTTCTGAACATTTTTAAAAGCAGAACAAAACACGCAACATTGCATAACTTCTTTAAAGGAAAAAAAAACGAGTGATAGTGAATCGTCTGGAAATGATTATATTTTTCTTCTTCTTCTTCGCCTTCACCAGCTGTAAACTCCGGCAGAAAGTTCTGGTTGTTCGTCCACTTCTGGACTGCAGTCCCTTTCCAAAACCTGAGTATTGCGTGTGCATCCGTTTTAAGGATCTGACTTATTGACATGAAAACTGCTGGTTCCTTGCCTCTCAGGCAGATGCACTCCGACTTCGACAATTAGTCGACTCTTACGACATGCTTATGGGTAGGCAGTGGGTCTATTCTTGTTTTCTCTATAATAGTGCCCCGGAACCCACACGGGTAGAAATGATTATGAATCGTCAGGAAACTAATCACCAGAAGTGAGATTACGTGATGCCATAATGGACGTTGACTCCCCTTGCAAACAATAGTTTTTTTTTTTTAAATGCAAAACGTAAATTTAATTTTAAAATTATGTTAACGTATTTAAGCAGGCCTAAAGTATATTTATGTCATCATGACGAGTAAATCTTTGTCACAATGATAAAGCAAAGACAGATACATTGGTTAATACGTAATTAAAATGTATTTGCATCGATTTCTGAGATCGATTGTAGAGAGGATTTTGTTTTCTTTTTGTTGGGGAAGAAGGGGGAGGGGGGGGGGGGGGGGTTAAAGAATAGATAAACAAAACAAAAGTCAAGACTCGGAACGGATGAAACCATTTTTCATTAATTCCTAAAGGAAAAATTCGTTTGATATTCACTCTTTTCATTATTCATCTTCCCTACATGAACAGAATAATGGCGAATACTGAAGTTCCGCTGTACACGTTTGGTGTTTTTATTTTAATTTGTTTTTAATTCTCCCGTCCTTTTGGTATGTAGGTGTGCGTACATACACACACACATATAAGTAAGGTAAATTATCTTTCAGTCTGACATACAGTATGCCAGAACACCTTCCTGTGAGTGTAAGGAAACAAATGTTATGTTCTAAACCTCACACGTTATCTCGCAAACATTTTTGTGCTCTTGTCCCCACTCATTCATCAGTTTGATGTGTACATGTTCTCTTGCTAATTATAATTTTGAAACGTAATTAATCTTCCAGTGACTATAATGATACGTCTGAAAATGCAAATAGGGTTCACAGCTCGAATTAGGTAATATCCCATTCTCACTCCCTGTTGTAGAGAACAGGAAATTACCGTAATGGAGAAAGTCTTTTCTCTGTTAGCTAAGAACCATGGAATTCTAATTTACTTTAGCTGAATGGCAAATAAATTTAATAATATATTCCCCAAAAAAATGGGGTGGGGTGGGAGGGGTTAAAGTCAAGAGAATCAACTTCAGAGCATCGGGTTTTATTCCATATTGTTCATTTTCTCTCAGAACGACCAGCCACCTATCAAAAACATCGCCCGAAGTATGAACTCTGTCGCTTCAGCGACGATCCTCATTGATCTCTGTAAAATTGTCACTGGTGAACTGAACAGAGCAATTGTGAAACGAACCCACAACCTTCAGAGTCCGAGGCAAACGGTCTGACCACATGGCCATGAAGACTTTCCTTTTACTCCCAGTTAAGAATAGTTAGGCAAATGATGTGTGTAAACAAAAACTTTCACAACGATTTTTTTAGTTCATTGTTTGTTTTTGTTTTTTCAAACACCCTGTCGAGGGAGACACATTCTGTTTGTTGTGCTCCCCTGACTAAGGTTAGTTGCGTATCCGTTACAAGGACGTTGTAGAAGAAACCCCAAAAGCCCCTGGCTGTTATGTGGTTTTTCTTAACAAATTTACGTCCTGTAGTTTGCCATTGCTTCCTGGACGGTCGGCTTTCTTGATACCACTGTCGAAACCAACGCAAGGCGCATGGCCCGCAGCTGGGATCGAACCCGGCATCCCGGCATTACGAAGCGTTCGCATCGACTTAGCCACAGAGCCGACTAACTATCTTGCTTATATACAAATGACGGTATTTAAGAGCTTCCCTAATATTACATGTGGGAGCCGCGGTGGTGTAAGCGGCTAGACGTTCGCAGTCGGATCCTAAAGTCGTGGGTTCAGTTCGGACACAGCCTGACTTTTTTTTTGTTTTGTTTTGTTTAGTCGACTCAGCCTTTCTCAAATGGATACCAGGTAAAGTCATGAGAGGTAAAGGCGGCTGGCGTGATTTTGACCATATCATCCACGCCTGAATACGCGGAAAAGAGGTTTCTGATATTATGTTTCCACTAAGGCTGTGGGGTAGATTTTCTCAGGTTCATGCAAGTCTTCGGAATGCCGTCCCTTAAATGTTCAAACTGTATTTAGATTTCGCTGCCTTTGCCGCCTCCTTACGGTGCCGCCTGATACGACAGCCTACCTTTACCATAGCACGACATACTCCTGCTTTCCACTTTATTTTCCCTTTTATGCTGTGTCGTGTATAATGTGTCCGTACTATTATACCAGTAACAGGCTTTTCAGAGTAGGCTTAATTGAAAAAAAAATAAAAACAACGCAAGCTTACACATCAACGACACGGTGTTTCGACTTCGAATATTTCATATATTCTTTTGAAGTCCGTTCGTGTCTTTCAACTTCAGGTAACCTTGCAATGGGTTGCATGTCTATCTATCCGCGCTGAAATAATTGAAATTCTGTGCAGTTGGTGAAGCATTTATTTTCGTCGATTCTTTGCCAAATTCTGCCAAGCAGTCTTGCTTCAGATAATACAACCTGCGTTAGCGCAACTAAAATCCACAAGGGCGTGCTTTCCGACATATGTAAAACGCTACAGCTTGCTGCGATCAGCTGCTGGCGTTTCTCCAAACTTCTTGCAACTTTGGCCAAGTCAGTTGTCTTTAGTGAAACTGTAGGTGTGAAAACACAGAGTGATTTGTTAAATCTTGTAATTGCATTGAATGGCTAGGAGAGATTATTAACATGTCAAATCAACGCTGTTGAATGGAGATAAAACACGGAGAACGAACAAACGAACTTTTTCCCTCAACATCTAAAATAGTTACAAATAAACGACAAACATCTATGAAACAGTGTTTGTGCAGATATAGGGGATTTATATCGAATTACAGAAACACTACTGCGGAGCTTCGGGAGAGAATTAAACAAATCCCAGTGAATAAAGCTGAGGATACGCTGGTATTGTATAATACACAAAAAAGGAAAACTTGATACTACTTCGTCTGGAACCAGCTGGTTGAAAGGAATAAAATGCAGACCAAATGCACATTTAACCGTGTTTCCATCATCACTTTATATCTAGCAGCAAAAGACAAGTTTTAAACACAAAACAGTCAAATTATTTTCTCAAGTTCTTCTTCAAATACGAGTATAGATTCATAACTGCTGAGTTCTTTGTGGTTCACCGTTGATTTAACCAATATTTCTTATTTCGCAGTCTTCCTCTATTGGTCAGCGAGAAAGAAAGAGAGAGAGAGAGAGAGAGAGAGAGAGAGAGAGAGAGAGAGAGAGAGAGAGAGAGAGAGAGAAAGTGAGAGAGAGACTTGAAGGCATGCCTTGATGACAGCGAAGCTATGTAAAGAATAGGTATAGTAATGGGTCGTTTTGTTTCGTTTATTTTGCTATACATTTTCATCCGTAACTAGAGATGCGATTGCGTCCCAAAAAAGCAAATCGAATTGACCATTATTGAGAAATTATTTTTCCGTGCTCTTTACGTGAAAGATCAAATCGGAACAATTATTAGAAGTTATAGGAGAGATGCTAAGCTTTGACCTGAGATGGTTTTGACGCGTATACAATAAATCGATTTTTTTGGCAGCACGCAGTGAATTAACGGTAAGTAATTTCATTAATATCTTCTTAATTAGCCAGATTACCGCAATTTGTGGTGTATTTTTCAATTCTG